GGGGGGGGGGAATCACCTGAAATGAATAAAACAAGACGCACACACACAAAAGAAACCACTTTATTTCTAACAACAAACTGTATTTAATAGAGGAATTCACTTCAATAAAGACAATTTAAGAGCATAGAGATCACCAGCTTTGTGGGGTACACTGAGAGAAAAATGACCGAATAAGATGCCACTGGAGGGTGAGAAAAGATGAACTTAAGACAGTACCATAACAGCAAAAACTCATCCAAGTGGTGATCATGCTTAAAATAGCTTCTTACATAAAATCCCTTTTAAATAATATTCTACCAAAAATATGCAAATACCTTTTCCATTTCTTGCCGGAAGGTTGTAAATAGTTCATTGCTTTTTGCCATTGTAGTCTGGAATTCTTCAAACTTATCCATATAAAGAGAAAGCTACAGAAAAAAGTATGAAATATTCTGAGTTCCAGGTAAACAATTTGAAATTCCAAAGACTTTGAAAACGAACACATTATGTATGGTCCAATGTTAATTGTTATATAAATGACAGACATAAGAACAAATGCCAAACTTAAATGTGAATAAAGAATTTCAAACAAATGAACAAATGTGCACCCACCCAATCCTTGGACCCTGGGCATAGATGGCTGAAGTCCTAATAACCCACTGAAATGCATCGAAATTTAGGAAATCTGTTGATTTAGCCATCTTTTCAGATGTAATGTTAAAAATGTAAAAACATTTACTAGCTTCATTCCACCAATTATATTAAAAACTGAAGGATGTTGTATAGCTATAAATTTCAGACAACTGATCCTTTATGAACTACCCACTGTCCATCCTTACATTTGAAAAACTGTCCTTGAAAAAGATCATTCTTTTAGAAAACTACCTGCACAGTTCTTAGCTTAATATCAAAGATATCTTTTTTCTTAACGTAGGCAGGAAAATGAAATAAAAGCCAAAGAACCGGTTTCGTAGGGGGACAAAGAATTCAGTGGGAGTCCAGTTAAGAGAACAAAGCTAAAAGGTAGAAATACTGATTTTTCTTTTAACTCCTACCCTCAAGGAATTTTTATACTAGGTGGTAAAATAATGCTAACCAAGAAGCCAAGCAGAATCCAGAACATGGAGTCACCTTTTTCTCCCCGTAGGAACAGGAATTCAGAGAAAGGGGCACACAGTAGGGTCAGAACAGAATAGTTAGGAAAGTTTCAGGTGGGTGAGGCCTGACTGAGGCCTCAAGGGTAGGCTGAATTATTTTAGACCAAAAGGGAATATTTTAAAACCCATCTAATGTAATTACATTTTCAGAATGAGGAAACAGGCCCAGAGGAATCAAGTGTTTTGCTCAAGATCACACAATACATGCAAGGAAAGCAGATAAAGAAATCAGAGGCCAAGAAATAGCATAAGTGAAGCCTTTCCACTTCCAGCAGTGCTGCATGAGGAATATTAAACAGCCACGTGAACATGATGGGGTGGGGGGAGGATGTGCTATGACAGAACCAGCCCACCAGTTACCACGTGGGATGGGCAAATGGGGAGCACCTAGAAGCAAGCTCTGCTGTATGTGGGAGAGAGAAGCAGACTGAAAGCAATGTTACCAGCGACATGCTAGATGAGGTAACTAAGATAGCCAAAGCATGCCTGCAGAAAGGTGAGGCTAGGGCAAAGATGAAGACATTTAAGGGCACATTGGAGAAGAGTGCAGAGGATCTGTGAGCAGTCTGTGAAGGGGCACACAATGACAGTGCCTCTGAGGCTGCTGGCCTGGGGGTGGGAACAATGGTAGTGCCCAGGGAATGAGGGAATTCTGGCACTTGAGGGAGCTGAGAAGTTACGGCAGTTTTGGCATGGCTCATTTTCAGTGAGGATGGCACATCCAGGTAGACTGCCCCATCTGAGAGGTCAACGCTGGCTCATTCTGGGTAGTGGGAACTACCATGACACCTGCACTTATGTGTCTGGATTACACAACAGTGGGTCAAGACACACCAAGACGCTGACATCATGAACAGGCACTGGAAACTGACATAGTAAGAGCCCAGAATGAGACCAAGTCTTGGGAAGGACAGCCACATTTAGGGAGCGGGAAAGGAAGAGGTAACAGCAAAGAAACTAATGATCAGATAACACGATGCAGGTTCACACAGATCGCACAACAAAAGTTGCACTAACAGTACAACAGAATCAGAGCTGCCTGTGAGCCTGGTAGATGGACCCTCCGGTGCCTTGCACTGGACAGTGAGCAGTGACACCCGCATTAAACTCCATCTGAAGCCATGTATGAACTTTTTATACCTTTTCCACATCGATTCTCTTCTCCATTTTTATAGACAACTAAATTTATAGGGCAAATAAGGGATTCAAATTTCCTATAAGCATTCCAGCATGACTATAACTTATGGTGGAAAGTTCAAAAAAACTTCTTGGATTTTCACTCTAAGTACATTAGCTTTATAGGAAATGAGTATCACATTATAAAATGTGCCCAGCCTGGCCAGCGTGGCTCAGTGGTTAAGTATCATAAATAGCACTCCAAAAAGGCGCTGATAAAGATCCAGGCCAATCTCAATGTATCAGTGCACTTAAGAACTAATTTTGAGTCCTTAAAGAAACTGATTATATAATAAATTTTTAAAATGAGTAATACTTTTCAACAAAATGTAATCTAGTTAAGTGAAAAAGGGTGCCTTATAGGTACAAATGCCTAATTCCTCTTGTTCATAAACACATGGGAAGTCTTTTCTGTGCCTTTTCTTTGAGGGAGGAGGCATCTGGCACCCGTACTCCACACAAGGCAACCACAAAGAAACACCACAGTAGGACAAACCTAAGGGGTCTGGATTGAAAAATAGGAAGGAAACAAAGAAAAGCACAGGCCCAGATGGATTCACAGGTGAATTCTACCTAACATTTAAATGAGAATGCCGATTCTTCTCAAATTCTTCCAAAAAATTTAAACAGGAGGGGACACCCCCAAACTCATTTTATAAGGCCTGCATTACCCTGATACCAAAGCCAGATACAAGAAAGGAAACGAGAAAAGGATACGAGAAAAGAAAATTATGGACCAACACCCCTAATGAACATAGATGCAAAAATTCTCAACAAAATACTAGCAAACTGAATTTTTTTTTAATTTTATTTTATTGCTTTTTAGAGAGAGAGAGGAAGGGAACGAGGAGAGACAGAGAGAGAAACATTGATTTGCTGTTCCACTTATTTATACATTCATTGATTGCTTCTTGTATGTGCCCTGACTGGGGATGGAACCCGAAACCTTGGCGTATTGGGATGACTAACCAACTGAGCCACCTGGCCAGGGCCTAGCTAAGGAAAACACTACGGAAGTTCCTCAAAAAATACAACCACCATATGACCCAGCAATCCCACTTCTGGGTATTTATCCAAAAGAGATGAAATCGCTATCTCAAGAAGATATCTGCACTCCCCTGTTCACTGCAGCATTATTCACGATAGCCAAGATATGGAAACAATCTAAGTGCCCATCGACAGATGAATGAATAAGGAAAATGTAGTGTATATACACAATGGAATATTATTCAGCCATAAGAAAAGAAGGAAATCTTGCCATTTGTGACAACATGAATGGACCTTTAGGGCATATGCTAAGTGATAAAAGTCAGACAGAACAAGACAAATACTGTATGATCTCACTTATATATATGTGCAATCTAAAAAGTCAAACTCGTAGAAATAGAGTAAAATGTCAGTTGCCAGAGATGAGGGGTGAGGAAAACAGGGAGGTGTTGTCAAAGGGTACAAACTTTGTTATAAGATGAGTAAGTTCCAGGAATCTAATGTACACCATCGTGACTACAGTCAACAATACTGTTCCATAAA